GGCCTTGACGTGGCCGGTGCAGTTCTGGAGGAGCTGGTTGAGTCCCTGGACGTGCTTCTCGGTGGCCCCGTGGGGGTTCCCGTAGACCATGAAGAGCACCAGACCCAGAATGATCAGGAACTGGATGAGGGAGAGGAAGAGGAAGAAGTATTTGGCGTAGAAGCCGCAGCCCCGGCTGGCGGGCAGCTCCTCCTTGGCGGTCAGGCCCAGCTTGGCCATCATGTACGGGTTCTTCTCCATCGCGGCAACTGCCTCGGCCCCCCGGCCGGCTCGGGTTTTGCTCCGATGGGCGGGGACCGACCTTCCCCAGTGTTTAGATTGTGCCTGATTAATATTTCCTCTCCACCCCCCAGATCAGGTTAATTACACTAAAGGGCACTTACTGATTGCCTGTAAAAAGAGCCTTGCTGTCAGTTTTGTTCACTAGAGGTGTAAAAAGGTGAAATGTCTGGATTGTATACTGAAAATACTAAAGGTCTTAATTCATTGTTGGGAGGCTTTAGATATGCATACAGAGCTGGGCTTTCGCCCCTCTTAGGGTGGAATTGGGGGGGTGAAATAACAAAGTTGCAAGTATGAGTATACAAAATCTTCTCTCCTCAACCACTCTGCTCAGCTCTTGTAAACTCAAAAGTCGTGGTTTCTTTGAGGGAGTTCCTCCATCTCGTATTAGGGTCTTCCTCTCTTCCTGATCCCTTTCCCAGTGTCTTATGTCTTTTCCAGACAATTTGGCCTTCTCCTGGGGTGTCCAAAATAGGGCATTTTCAGTTTTATTAATTCCCCCCCCCCCCGGATACCCTTCTGGGGCAGAACAACCCCCAACCAGGGTCTCCACAACGCTATTCTTCCGCACCCCATTTCAAGTGAACCATTCCTTGTAGGCTTTATTGGGGGGGGGGAGCCTGAAATCCCCAGACCAGTCCAATCTCTGGCCATCCTGGGGAAGGCGTCTGAAAGCTGGGAGGCGAACCAAGGCGGACTTCATGGGGTCCACCTCAAATCCTCCCATCTTTGGTTTGGTTTTGGGGTCGGTGGGTGGGTGGAAATAAAAAATTCTCATTTTGTCCAAAAGAGGAAAGGAAACGTCAGCTCGGCTCCTCTTAGGACAGGGTTTTAATCAGCTCCTCCGGACTGGACGGTTAAGTTCTCCCAAATCCTTTCCCCCAAAGCCCTTTGCTTCCTAAGAGCCTGCCGAATTCCCAGGTAAACCTTCCTCTCTCTTGACATCACCAAGCCAAACAGGAAAAACCTTCCAAAAAAATCCTGGGTGGGGGGGGCGGATATTGGCTCAGGAGCTCCGAGCTCTCTGTAGACAACCGGATTTGACCTCCGGCTTCGGTGGTTTCCTTTCGAGGAGCAGAAATAGTACCCTGAGCCAGACACCTCACTCGGCCGTCTCGGGCTGGTAAAATGCTACCCCACCCTGCCAGGTTTTTTTTAAAATATCTCCCCAACACACAATGTCCTGCTTAATGTTGGCATCAAAGCCCTCAGGGGGTGTTTAGAGACAAGTTTCGACAGTCCTGGGTTCAAATCTCTGCTCAGCCATGACATATCCCTAGGTGAGTCTGGGGATCTGTTACACTCCGTCTCAGACCGGCCTACCTCATAGGGCTGTTCAGAGGGCGAATCAGGCAGAAGAGCCCTGGACAAGTGGAGCTGATTCAAGGAGGGGAAAAAAGCCGTAAAAATGATAACATATATATATATTAAATGGCGGTGTTCCTTCTTTGCAACCCTGAGATTGAATTTTTTTTAAAAAAAACATCCAACTTGACAGGAAAAAAATTCATAAATTTTAATTCATTGGAAAGTTACATTCCAACACATTTTTTTAAAATTGTCTTGTTTTGATGGTTAGGAGCACCCTGAATTTTTCTCCCTCTTGGTTCTTTCTTGAAAGTGTAATATCCCAGCAGATCTGGAGTGGGTCTCCTCATCCTTGAAGACAATGGGTGAAGAAAAACACCGTTTCCTCATCTCCTGCCCGTCAAAGGCACCGTTTAGGTCCTCTAGACTAGAGGAGAAAGCTCAGCCCTTCCTGGAAAATAATTAAAATTATAGTTAAAAAACAGCAACCCACAGTTCCCGAAAAGGGGCTAGAAATAACTGCATAGGTAGTGAAGAACCTTGTGTGACTCTGAAGGCTGACATAATCATTATGGCCTCAGCTTCCAGGGATGCTTAATCCCATGAATCCAGAAAGCCTGCTGTCCTAAAAAGGTCTACTCAGAAGTACGTTTCGTGGAGTTTAATGGATTTACTCTCAGAGAACTGAACAGACTACAGGATTGAAGCCTCAGACCTTTTATACGCAGTCGTTTCCGAACTGGGAGGCCTTGTTCGTCAGCTGGAGAGACAACTAGAAGTTCAGTGATACCTGGAAAGCTAACAGATTTATGAAATCTGGGAGGCAAGAGGGTTGTCTCAGTCTGTTAGATGAAGAATGAAAGAATCCTGTGTCACTTTGAAAACTACTAGGTGAACAGAGCTCTGTGTTACTTTGAAGAGTACCACTTCAGCAGAGCCCTGTGTTACTCTGAAGACTAATTAACACGGGGCCCCTTTTTGAGTGCCCAACATGGAGCCCCTCATATTCCCTCTTGTGCTCTCACCCCCCTCCCTGCACACACCCGCTCTTTCCTCTCCAACTTACAAGGGGGAACAGAGCGCAAAGGGTCACCAGCCCCCAGAATAAGTACCGGAAGGGGGGGCACCTGCGGCGGGACGAGGACGAGGGCGAGGACCGGCCCTGGAGGCGGCGCTGGAGGGAGGCGATCTCAGCCAGGTAGCTCTGCCTGTTTTGGGAGAAGAGGGTGACCGAATTTAAAAAGCTGAGCCCGTGAGATAGTCATTAGAAAGGGGGCTGATTTGCACTCGGCTCCCTAGGTGAACGTTGTTGCCCAGGAGCAGAAGTGAATAGAGGTCCAGTGCTCTCGTTCTGTGGGGACCTCAGAGAGGGAAGGCTGCTGGGGGGTGGCACCCTAGCCTGTGGAACTCCCTGCCAAGGGAAACGCGCCTCGTCTTCTTTCTGTCGCCCTTCACCCAAGGGAGGGGAAACAGCTTTTTCATGTCAGTGGGCTTTGGGTGGCTGGCCTGTGACCGGGGAAAGGGTTGGCATGCTGTTGTATTCTTTAGGATATATATATATATCCTAAAGAATATATGTATCCTAAGAATATTATATTTAAAAAACTGCATTTTTAATGGTTTACCATCCATTCCTAGCTAGGCTGGCTGTTGGAACCTCCAGGTTCAGGAGCAGTGTACCTTTGAGCACAAGGCACCCTGTTATTGATTTATTTAAAACTCCTTTTTCTGCTTAAAAGGACCCAAGGTGGTTGACATCGTTTTTTTAAAAAAAATCCTTTAAAAGGAGCCTAAACCCGAAGCAAGGTCAGCTCAGCTGGATCCAGTCCGTGTTTTTCCTCTTTCCCTGAGTTTGGCTAAGTGGGTCTCCTTGGGTGAAAAGGTAAACAATGATGTGTGTGTGTGTGTGTGTGTGTGTGACTTGACTCACAGGCTTTCTTGGAGCGCATCCTGCCTGGCGTTGCAGGCCTCCTTCTCGGCCTCGGCGGCATCTCGCGCATCCACGGCGCCCGCCAGCCGGCCTTCGAGTCCCGTCACCTGCTCACGCCACTGGGCCATTTCCGCTGGTGGCGGCGAAGAAAAACAGAGAAAGTGAAGGATGGAGAGGACTCCAAACCGAGGATATTTAGTCACCTATTACCAGTAGGACTCGAGCATCCACAGGAGATTGGTTCGAAGCCCCCACCCCAACCCCGTGGATGCTGAAAAATGCGTATAATAGTGAACATGATACAGAACACGGTCCCTGGCTTCCTTTAGTGTCCAGTTGTGGTAACGTCATCTATTCATTTATGGGATTTTTCTTTTAATATTTCCAGACCGTAAGTGAATCTGCAGGTCCTGATCCAGTGGATAAGAGGACGCTGTGGTATTAAGAATCGTAGGAGAATTTTACCAGAAGTTCCAAATTCTTCAGGAGATTTCATGTAGCCCCATCCAGTGGCCCCAGCAGCATCTGCCCCAGCTCTCCCCCACCTTTTTTATTTTTTTATTTTTTTTATTTTTGCATCCTGCTCTGTCTGGCCACTTTACCTAGGAGGGCCCCATTCTGACTGTTCACATCCATTCCTTCAGCCTGGAGGGTGAACATCTCGTTCTGGAGGGCCGATAGGTTGGCATCCAACCGGGTCTGCAAAAGAGTATAGTCTTTTAACCGTGTTAAAAAAAAGAAAAGTTGCCCCCCAGCGCGCTTTCTGATGGCTCCACCCCTTTTGTTTAAGCCACACCCCTGCCCGTAGCTGGCTCCTCCCTCCCTGTCTCTGGCCACGCCCCCTTCCTCAAAGAAAAGAGCCAGACATTCAATTTTTGGAGAAGTTGGAGGCAGGATATGTGGGAAAACCAGAGGAATGAAATCCGGAGCGGACCCTTGATACCAATTTCGTCCCGCATCTCTTTCCTGTGGAATCATGGGATTTGTAGTTGGCTGAGGGCCTCTGGGTTCCCCACTCTTGTCCCATCCAGGGAATCTGTGTTGATGCTTTTAGACCCCATTTTGGCTGTTTGTGGATTTTTCTTTGACAGCCTAGAAAAACTGTCTCTTTTTTGTGCGTGGGGGGGAGAGATCTGCAAATTCTGGGAGGTGCAGAGCCCGAACTCCCGCTCCCAAACGCAACTTCACCAGATCATGGATTCGAATTGCGCTCTCCTGATGCGTTGACGACACCCCTGAACGGCTTGGTAAACAAGGGCTGAAAAGCAAAAGGTTCGTTTCCGTCCTCCCCCCTCCACCCCCTTTTGCGTGAAAAAGACGTCTTTTGTCACAAAGGGGTTTCCTTCGAGCGCGTACAAAATGTATTTGTCTTTCTGAAGCGTGGTTGTTTACATGTTCGCAGAGCAGAATTAATGGGTTCCTTCCTCTTAAGGCAGATGTTTGGGTTTTCCACGCCAGGGCAAGATTGCCGGCTGCCGCTATTTGCAAAAGGGGCTCCTCGTCCGCTCCCGCATCCCTGGAGAGCGTCGCCAAGAACTCTGGCCCGCTTGAAGCAGACAAACACGTAGACGGATACTTTTTTTCCCACCGGTTGCTCGTGAGGGAGGGCGTCTCTTCTAAACAGTCCTCTTGGCACGAACGAATATTGCTCTGCTCGAAGGGCAATAGGTAAGCTTGGGAACTACACAGAACGCTTCCGTCAGCGAGACCAGGGCTGCGTTCAAATTCCAAACACAAGAAGGGGCAACCCTCCAGAAGCAACCAAGGCAATGGGTTGTGGTCGCTCCTGCATTTTGGAATGATTTCCCAGAGTTTTCCCAGTTGGTTTGGTTGATTTGGGCATTTGGTGAGAAGGCAGGATTCTCTGGGGTGGGGGCGGGGAGGGGGGAACAACACATCGTGCTGGGAAAAAGGCAGCAGGAAAAGAGGAAGATGACATGTGAGATGGATTGGCTCCCTAAAGGAAAAAGCGTGCCCAGTTTTCATGCAGCAAGGTCAGAAAGCGCGTGCAAAGTGCAAAACCGGTTAAATGCCTTTAAAGGGCCACTTTTCCCATTTTGATTTCCGACCACTTCAGGTTCCTGGAAAAAAACATCCTGGGGGGGATGTTAGTGAGAGTGGTGATGGTGGTGGTGGTGTGTAAGTGTAGGTTCTCTCCCACCCCCCACCCCCGCTTTATATCATCCCGAGTATCAGAATGGTTTTCATGCAGAGCAAAGATAAAAATGGGTTTGAAAGCCCTTAAGGCTCATTGCAAAGGTCTGGAAAAAGGCAAGGAACCCAGAAACTCAACAGGATCTGACATTATAGGGTTCCCCCCCCCCAACAAGAAGGTGAAACCGAAGCCTTTAAGCTCTTTTACTTTTAGTAGCAAAGCAGCCGAGAAGAAAATAGGTCCGGCATCAATTTACAAAGGCTTGTCAAATTCTGGGATAAACTGCTCCTGTATAGGGAGGTTCCAATTGCCTAGCATGTCTAATTAGTTACCAGAGACGGTGGCTTCTCCTCCTGCTCTTGGAAACTGATCCGTGGGGAGATCCAGATGGTTTAGTCACGCTCGGCCGGTGGAACCTCCCCGGGCAGGAGCAGTCTACCCTTGGCCCAGCCCTCGCCGCCTTCCCTCCCCTTGGTCCCACCGCCGCCACGTACCACGTTCTCCAGGCAGCCCATCACGGTGGCGTTGAGCCTCTTCCGGCTTTCCTTGGCCTGGCCGAGCTGCCTCTGGAGGTCCTTCTCCCGCTGGGCCAGCTTCTCCAACTGCTTGCCCCGCTGGGCTCTCTCGCGCTCCAGCTCGGCCACCCGGTCGGCCAGGGCCCCCGTCTCGTTGGCGGCCCTCTCCTGGCACCCTCTCAGCTGGCGGGTGGCCTCCGAGTGCCTCACCAGGACGGCCACGGAGACCGTCACGGCGGCCACCAGGAGCAGGAGGATGAAGCAGAGGCCCAGGACTTTCAGTGTGGCTTTCGTGGCCGAAGAGGGATCCATGGGGCCACCCGGGGGGGGGTCCCTCGGCAGAGGCAGCACCCGCCGGCTGGACACCTCGGGCAGCAGACGGGGAACTGCCAGGAGCCTGCTTCGGGTCCACTATAATTTCTCTGCGTGGGTTTCTCCAGGAGGATGGCAAACCCGTCATTTGTGGCTCACCGCAAGCCACGGAGCAAAGGTCACGGCAGGAGGAGGGGTGCACCTGCCGGACGCGGCCTCTCCAGAGAAGTTCGCCCACGGACCAAAAACGGAGCCGCTTGGAAGTGGGGAAAACAACCCGCTTGGCCCCCGGACGGATCTCTCTCCTGGTTTTGGAAGCGGATGCCGGGAATAGCCACGACCCGGCCTTTCCCAAGGTTGCGGGCCACACCTAGCAATTTCGAGGACGCGGGCAGGCTTCCCGAAGGCAACATTGAGGCAGAGGCCGTTTCTGGCTGGCTTCCTTGCGGACGAAGGGATGGGTGCAAATTGACTCACAAACTAAGAGTGATACACTGCTCCTAACCATGGAGGATCCATCAAGGCAGCACGGGTGGTGAGGTTTTACCCGCCAGTTCCCTTCCATGAATTGAGGCCCTTTAAAACCGTCTACACCCTGGACTTCCAAGCTCAATTCCGGTAGTAAGTGTGTTGTGTGAACGTGTGTCTCACGTAGCTAAGTGTTATTACCGTAATCATCCTTATATAAACATCCGTTCCCTTTTAGAGACACCTCAGAGAAAAAGCAGTCAAGCCAGCCGTGTGATCCCGTTCTCATTTTATTTCAGCCGGGCTGATCGAGGGAAGAACAGAAGTTTAGGCAAGACATCCCCCCCCCCAAGAAAACCTTGTTATTAGAACAGGAAGCATCTGGCAGTGTTGGAGAGACTCGATTCAGGTCAACCTTCAGAATCCGAGGAAGACTGAAAACAAAACAAGCTAACGGGAAGACCAGGAAAACTCTTATTGCGCACTCAGACACTTTTCAGATGTTAAGGAATTTCCACCTCTAATAACGGGTGATGTCTGTGTGGCTTCATAATTTGACCAGGGTTGTGCACACACACACACCCCAGTTCTAGCTGTGGCAGTGAGGAAAAAGTGAGTGCTTTCTACTGCGCTCAGTCTATTGCATTTCCAGTGTGAGCTGTTTTGTTTTTTATTTCGGAAGGTGACGGACACCGCCCGAAAGGGCTAGGGAGAGGAAGAGAAGCCACACGCTTGGCAAGCGCACAAAAGTGTTGTGACTTTGCAGTGGCACCAGGATGTATGCTATTAAAGTGCCAACACTCTGGACTAGCAAAATTGACAACTTCCTTTCCTGGGCTGCCCTGTTCCTCCCCTTGCTTGTAGGCTGTGTCTGTGAGTCCCTGAGAAACAAGGAGGTGGTTGTGAGTGATCCCTGCTCTAGAGCGACGTGTCTGGAAGCCGCTTGGTTTTGAGTTAGCTATTAAGAGGTGTTAGCCACACAAAAGACCTGCTCCTGGCAAGGAGGAAAACAGCTGGAATCACTGGGTAGGGAGGGACAGAGTTTGGCCTGGGAGCAGAGGTTTTACAAGATACCTCTAAATGTGTATCATCTTGTACCCCTATTTGCTGGTTGGTAAAGCAACAGCCCCATATAATTTGGGGGTAAATAACCCTCCGCCCCAAATACACACAGCTGAGCCCCGAATGCCACAGATTCCCTTTCTCCTTTGAACCCCAGCAGAAGTCCAGCTGCCTCGGGGACCCGTCCCGTCCTGTGCCCTGGCTCCGTGGTGGTGCCCACAGCGTTGGCTAGGTCCCTCCCGAGACCTGGGTGCGAGGCAGTGGCTCCCCTGATCCTCTTTCACAGCAGAAGGGCCATGGTGACCACCGAGGCCACCAGCCAGGCCACGCCGCAGTGGTGGAGGTGGCCGCGGTCAGACCAAAGCTTCTGTTGCTGGTGGAAGTGGGTGATGATCTCTCTCTGTTGGATGCTGCAGAGTAGAGGGAGAATGAGAGAGAGAGAAACCAATAGACACGGATTCGAAAAGTGGTGTTTCTTTCTCAGGAGACCGCGTCCGGAAATTTCCCATACCTTCGAGTTCATGTTTTGAAATGGGGAGTTGTTTTTTCACGAGTTCCAGTGTTTATACTGACTCCACACATTGCAGATTTTGGGACTGGTAATTGAGGATAAACACAGGGGTACCTTTGCAAATCAGACTCAGCTTTGAAGGAATGGCGTCTTTGGAGGGAAAACACCGGGGGAGCAGGGAATATGCCATAACCTCTTTTCCTGTAACATGGGATTTGGACTCTGAGTTTGTTCCCCAGCCACATCATAGCAGGAATGCCCTCACAAGATCCCCCTATCCCACAACCCTGATAATCCGGACGGGCTCACTTACTTGAGCTCCTCGAGTTTCTTTGTCCAGTTTTTCAAGATGAAAAGTTCACCTGCCGAATGGGAGGGAAAGACAGGACAGGAAAGACAGTGAGGCCAACGTCCCGCATCCCAAGGGGACATCTTCACAAATGAAATAACGGTAAAATCCTCTCACCTTCCAAAGCTTTAATGTCGAATTCTTTCTGGCGCAAGCGATTGCCCAGTTGGATCGCTTCGGTGCTGAGGGCGGACGCGTTGGCTTCCAGGATTTTCTGCCCCGAAGGAAGAAGCAGAGACAGAAGGTGACCTTTCTCTTAAGAGGTTCATCTCCCCCACAAAACAACACAACCACAACCTCGGGACCCTTGACCCCATCCTTCTCTATAGGATGAAACCCTGTTGGTGTGTGTCTTTTACCACCATCTCATCTCTCTGTGATGAAGCTTCATTGTCTGGTAGCTAGAATGACGGGCTCAGATTCGGGGGCCTGGGTTCGAATCCCTGCTCAGCCACAAAACCTCACTGGGGCTGAGGCAAAATCAGGGCTTCACTATCCCAGTGACCTTGGAAGCTTATTGGGCTGCCCAGAAAGTGGTCAGGAGGACCTGACTAAGGCGTAGAACAGATAAGCAGCAGGTGGAAATGTTTTTTGTTTGTTATTTTTGCTTGCTCAAGTTTGCACTTTTGGGCCAAGAAGTTCAAACCAGTGCAATAGGACTTCCCTCCTCCTATCTGTATTTACACGACAACCCTATAAGGTAGGTCAGGCCGAGCGTGAGTGACTGGTCGCTCAGGGCGGTTCACAGTCGAGCAGGGATTCAAACTCGGCTTTCCTCAAATCTAGTCTAACTTCCTGACCACTGCACATCACACCATCCCCCAATTCTTTCTAAATACTAGCATTGCATATATTTTTTAAAGGAACCAAAAAGGAAAAGTTCAGCTTAATAAAAAGAACTGATTATCTGTCCTAGTTAAGGTAACATTCATTTTTGGACAGATTTTCTGCCCCGTCCACGGAGAGAGGGCTTTAGAGCCTGAGGACGTGGATTTGATCCACAAAAGCTTGCTGTTTCTTTTTTTTTTTAGTGGCCCAATTAAAAAGCATCACCTACTTTTGCATTTAAAAAAAAGGGGGGGAACCCTCAGGTTAGTGGGGGGGAATTAAATAAATCTAAATTTAAATAAATAATA